GGGGAAATAAAGGCAGCAGAAATTTGGTAGGGATTATACTGGATCTATAGATCACTTTGGGGAGATTGCTACCATAACAATATTAACTCTTTAACAAACAGGATGTATTTCCATTTATATAGGTATTCTTTACTGTCTTTCAATAATGCTCTATAGTATAAGAATATCTTTTGCAATATACAGTATATTTTATTTTTACTTCCAAAACTTCCAACATAAATATTGGATCTATTGGATCCAATGTCCCTTTCTTTCCTTCCACAGTTTCTAACTCTTTATTATTTTGCTCTTTAGTCTGGAAGAACTCTTTTGAGATGCTAATACAATTCAAGATCAGTTTTCAACATAGTCTATTTTCTTTTAACTGCTTTTATAATCTTTTTTACTTAAATATTCATGTTGTTTTTAATTTCTGAGGACACTGTGGTTCTCAGATTGCTTCATTTTCATGATAAACTACACTTGTCATTCTTTCAATTTCAGTAAGAACTTGAACAAAATTTAAATAGGGCCTCCCTGGTGGCGCAAGGGGTTAAGCACCACACTGTGAAACAATCTGCAACCTCTGCAGCACGAGTTTGATCCCCGGTCCGGCCAGGGAGCAACCCACATGGCAAAGCAGACCTCCCCTGTCTCGCCTGCTGTTCCCCTCAGCAGTGTACTTCAGTCAGTCTGCCTGTTCTGTTCCCCACTCTGTCTCTGGTGAATCCTCTCACCCCCCCGCATCTCTGGCCTGTACCCAGCTCTTGTATGCATAAATAAATAAATCTTTAAAAGTTTTCTCCTACTTTCTCAATAAACTCCATTTTAGTGAGTGATATCTTACTGTCTGAGGATGGTGGTATTAGGTTAAAGGTTTATTTTTCAATGTCCAGTGAATTAGATTTGAGTGGGGAAGTAGGGTTTTTTTCCTCATAGAAGATGATTATGATGGTGTATGGGATACTAAACCATACTTTAAGTTCAAAGTAAAAGGAATAGGGTGAAGGAAGCACAGATATAAAGTATTTGATAATCCAATTAAAAAATGAGCTTAAAAATTAAATAGGCACTTCTCTAAAGAAGATATACAAATGGCATATGAAAAACTGTTCATCATCATTAATCATCAGAGATAATGTAAATAAAATGAAAATGAGATAACATCTTACATCTGTGAGAATGGGCCATATGAAGAAAGTCAGGAACAATAATTGCTGGTGAGGAGGTGGAGTAAAAGAACTACTACACTGTTGGTGGGAATGGAGACTGAGCCAACCCCAATGAAAACTCTATGGAGTTTTCTCAAAAGATTATGAATGGATCTGCCACATGACCTAGTAATTCCACTCCTAGGTGTCTACCCAAAGAATAGAAAAAGACTAAGTTGATAGGAAACTTGCACTCCCATGTTCATTGCAGCACTGTTTACAATAGCCAGGATATGGAGAAACAGCCTTTATGTCCAAAACCAGATGAACAGATGAAAAAGATGTGGTGTGTGTATATATATATATGTGTATATATATATATAATATTTATATAAATATAAATGGAATACTACTCAGCAATAAAAAAGTAAATTCTTGACATTCATGGCAAAATGGATGGAGCTGGAAAGGGTTATGCGAAGTTAGTCAGGAGGGAGAGACAACACCGGATGGTATCACCTATATGTGGAATATTCTCATAAAGTCCAACTAAAAAACTAACCCTGAAAGCTGACTGTGGAATCGGGGCTACCAAAGGGGAAGGGCAGTGACAAGAACGAGGAGGGAGCACAACGGTTTATGGTAGGGGACTATAGGTTCTTTGGTTGTAGGTGCACTATGGCAACAATGTTTGAAAAATGCAAACAATGATGTGTAACAGTATTAACTAAGTAAAATTATTAAAATAAATAAACAAAACTAAGAAATTTAAAAAATATTTTGAACTATGATTCAGAAAGAACTTTGGTTGTGACTATTGGCACATGGAACTCAATAGGAGCAATAAATTTGAAGTTTACTATGTATTTGAGGGAATTAGATAACCAAATCAGGAACAAGTCTGGCCTTAAAAAAACTTCTGATTGTAAAAGAACTCCTAGGACATCAAACCTTTAGCAGTAGGAAATGGGCTGTGAAAACTGTGAAGTATTCAAGGAGGGTTTACATCCCAATGCCCTTTTCAGATGTGGCCATTGAGGATAATGGACAAATGAGTCTTCCAGAGTGTGGTGTCAAGGGTGGCAGAAATCAGTACAAATGTGTTTTCATCCTGGAGGGCAGAACCAGGATGTAATAACAGAACTCCCATTGCCTAGGCAGGTCTTTCAAAAACACTCCTCAAAAGGGTTCTATCATTTATATGAAATCAGAGTGCTGTGAGTCTTATATTTTTTATTGAACTTAAATTTTAATGTAGGATATCTATGGGGAAGCATTTGGGAATCACTGTTATGGGGAAGAGAGGAGGTACTCACAGACAATGACAGCAGTTAACATTTTATAGTGTGCTAGACCCTATACATATCTCAGCACAGTTACTCTTTGAGGTATGTGCTCTTACGATGTTCTACCCGTGGGGACACTGAGATGGAGTCAAGTAACTTGATCAAGGTCACAAATAGGTACATCTTAGAGCCAGGATTCAAAAGTATGGGACCTACCCCCAGAGTGTTCACTCTTAAGCGTATCACATTTTATAACTACAGAAGTCTACTGTTCATAATGGAGAATATATAAATCCTAAAGAAGAGGTAAAGCATATGTACAAATTCATGGCAAGGGAGTTTTTTTTTTTTTAAATAAAGGAGACATTGAGATGTTTTCAGTCTTCCAGAATATAGATGTTATTATCACTAACTTTTAACCTTGTTAGGGCCTTATTTACTGATGAATCACCAGTTCTCATTACACCATGTGGCTCACAGTAGGCAGTCAATAAATATTTGTTGACTGAATGAAGAATGAATACCAGAATAATATAATATTAGTCTAAGGTCCTTGAATGACTGCCAAATTTGCCTTTACATCTCCAGACTGGTCTGCTTGCCACTTGACAAATGGTCCTTGAAGTACACTTAGAGAAAACTGCACTTTGGCTTTACTTTGAGGTTGCTCATTGTTCCCAGTTTCCTTTTCTTTAAAATGGAAGGTATTCCTCTCCCCAACTCTATAGACCTTGTGAAGGATTAGTTTTTCAAAAGATCCTCTACTTTAACCTCTTGTAAGCTTAGTTTCTATTCAGGGGGTGAACTTGAAATCTCAGGTTTCTACTTATCATATTTCTCACATATATGCCAGTTCTAATGGTGAACTTCCTGACATTGGATTCCTTTTTGATATGCTGACCTATACTGCTAATCATCTGCACCCTTCTATGTTAGTTATTTCAAAACATTGATTTCATGTGCTAAACCTTTATTATGTGCATGATGAGACAGCGGGAATACAGGGTGACTGAGAAAATCATGTTTCCTGCCTTCATGCACATAAAAGCATTTCAATGTTTTTTTAAAGGCCAGATAATAAGCATTCAATTGAAAAACAAAAACAAAAACAAAAAAATTTCTGTTCCTAATTCCCACAGGGACAAAAGGATTTTAAAAAATGGCAGTAAAGCTTTTCTTCCTAGTGCAGGAGGAAGACAATCCAAGCCACAAACACATTGCTGACTTTTGCCAGTCAGAACTGATCTATGCTTTCCTTGAGTTATTCCCTGATGATTCCAGACTTCCGGTCAATTTTCTCTGTATCATCCAAAAGAGAAAGAAAAAATGTATTTCAGTCCTTTTTTTAGACAAGATAGAGTTAGAAATCATGTGAGATCTTTAATTGGTCTACTTTAATTGGGGTTATCTTTGAACTATAATTAACGATGATCCTCCAAGAACAGACTGATACCCAGCCGGCCCTGGCTGGGCTGGGCATCATGGTAGCTTCCCCTCTTGCAGGGACTAGCGGAGCTACCTGGGGCTATACTTGTCCCCAGGACCTAAAAATAGGTCAACTCTTCTTTACCAGACTCTTCCTCCACAGCCAGAGTAAAATTTCTTCTTCCAGAGCCTGGATAATCCAATCCATAAAGGAGTGTAGTCTTTAACCTCTGGCAACAACGAGTAACATTTCTAATAACAAAAACCATCAGTTGTGAAAAAGTGGAGCGAAATCTGTCCACAGCATCTCTTAAGAAGACCCAGCACCCGCAGGAACTGGTTGCCCTTGTGGCGGAGGTCTGTCCTCCCGGAGGCCGGGACCAGCCCGGGGTCAGCAGGCAGCGTCCCTAAGCGCCCCGCCCGCCTCGGCTCGGCTCGGCTGGGGTGGGCAGTGGGGAAGGCGAGCTCCTGAGCAAAAGTCCTCTCTGGCCTGGAGCTCCCGGGTTGGTTTGATTTTGTCGGCGTCCTGCCTCCGCTCTACCATCCCTCTTGCAAAATGCTAAGGGTTTTGCCCCACCATCGCCCAGGCCGAGTCCACGCCTACGGTCCTTGAGCCGCCGTCCAAGGCACAGAAAGAGCAATCTCGCAACGAGGTTAGTGCCCTCGGTGAAGAAATGCGAGCCCATTTTTCTTCCGGGCTGCGCGCGAAAGTCACACTGCGGGGCACCTCCTCCCCAAAGACCCCCTCCAGACCCTCCACCGTCCCCTGGCCACAAGGGCCACGCACAGCACATCACGTGTGTCGTGGAGTGGGGGGATGGAGGCGTGGGCGCGGGGCACGGCGAGCTCCACGGCCCGGGGGGACGTCCGAGGGGAAGGGCCGGGACACGTGCGCCCCCCCACCGCAGGCGGGCCGCGCGTCCCGGGGCCGCTCGCGGGCGCGGAAGCGGAGAGGCGGGGCGGGGGGAGGGGGCGCGGGTGTCGCGGCCGCGGCGGAGCCGCGGGAGCGGGAGGGGCCGCACCTGAGGAATCCGCCTCCGGCCGCCGCGGCCGCCGCCTCGCCCCGCCCCGGGGGACTGAGCGCGCGGCGGGCGCGCCTGCCAGAGAGACGCCAGCCACCGGCGGCGCTAGCACCTCGGCGGAGGGCGGCGGGAGCGAGCGGAGCGCAGCGCTGGGACTCGGACTGGGGGTGGGGAGAGGAGCCCCGGCCGAGGCGAGGGCCCCCCCTGGTCCTCTGTCCTCGCGCCCCGCCAGGGCCAGGTGAGCGGCTGCGGGGACTCCGGGGCGCGGCGCGGGAGGCGGGGAGGTGAGAGGTCGCGAGCCCGGCGCGAGCGCACGCCCTGCCGGGCAGGCGCTGCCCTTTGGCGGGCAGTGGACACCCTGCCTGCGCGGGGCAGCGCAGCGGCTGACTTCTCCTGGAGCGGTAGGAAGGCGGCGAGCGAGTGTGAGCGAGAGTGTGTCTGCGTGGCGAGCGCCGGCGCCCTGGCAGCCCGGGATCTGAGCCGGTTCTCCCCGCCGCCCCGCGCAGCCCCCCGAGCGGACCCAGACCGAGCGGCCGGCGCCCGGAGGCCAAAGGCCTGTCATCCCAGCTCCCCTCGCCGCCTTTGTGGCGGGAGCCGAGGAAACCGGAGCCCGGGCTCGGGGAGGCTGCGGCGCCGCTCGGGGCGCGCTCTGGACCGGGGTCCCGGGGCCGGGGAGACTCTCCCGGGAGCTCGCCGGGGCGGGAGGGCGGCAGGTAGGGAGGCGCGGAGGTGACCGCGGGAGGATGGAGGAGGGCTCGGCTCGGGAAAGTTGAGAGCGCCCAGCGGTGGCTGGGCGTTTGCCTAGTGTCCATGGGTTTCTCTTGTCTCCACACCAAATGTCACTTCGTCACGAGCGCGCGCGCGTCTTCGGCCATCGTTTCCATTTCTCCGAGGGCGGCTGAAGACCACTCTTACTCTGACTGCGATACAAAGGGTGGCGTTGACAGCTGTCCCTGACACAAGTAGACAGCGACGGGAGGTGTAGACCCTGGCGGGCGAGGGTGATGATGAGGGTGCTCGTTAAAGTAAATCAATTTCCTCAGTCCTTCTTGCGAGGTCCATTAAAAGAAAATTATCTGTGCAGACTCCGTTCGTGGGCTTCTCACTTCAGCCGAGCTGAGTAAGGTCGCACGATTCATTTGCACGGGAACAGCTGCTGCCTGCAGTGGAGGGGGACAGGTCCTGGAGAAACTCCTTGGTTATGTTTCTTTCATCTATGAACGTGACTGTTAAAAGGTCTTTATCTACCCCACACCGGCCCTCTGACCCCTGTTGAGAAGATGGAAATCAAATTTTAATTTCTACTTTTCACAAATCAAATCTGATTTAAATTTCATTTTAAAACCTCAACATTTAAATATGGGGAAGACCTTTTCCACAAAAGCTTTTTGAAAAATTACATGTCCCCTTTCGAAAGACTTTCGTTCCTGGATACGTTTTCTTATACTTTAATTCCTGGAATTCTGCTTTGAATTTTGTGACTGTTGGTTTTTGTCTTTCTGAGTATTTTTATGTGGCTTTACAAATTGCAATGCTAAAAACTTACTTAAGAGAGAAAGCATTTAAAATAGTTGTTTTATTGAAAATATTTCGTAATAGAATTACATGCATATTGGCTATTTTAAACGGAGATACTTCATTAATGAAAATTGAAAAATAATATGCATAAGATAAACATTTGAAACAACAGTGTAAAAGTAAATCTCTCCTGCCCTATGCTTCCCATATCCTCCCCAGAGGACAATCACTGTGGTCAGTTTCTTGTATGTTCTTCCATAAGCTGCCTATTAGAAAGAAATTACAGTATGGAAATAAAGAATGAAAGGAACTGAAATAAGGAAAGTGGTGATTGATACTAATACTCATGGTAACATTAGTACCCTTTATTTGACTTAAGGGACACATTTACTACAGTTGAAGATCAGTTAGAGTGCTAAAAATCTTAGAATAAATATTCAGTGGAAAACAAAAGTATTAAAACTGCTGTTCTCCTCCCTCCACCACCAGCTTCTCTACACTTGGTTTTTACTATCTTTGTTGACTATTTCCTCCATTTTGGAACTCTTTATGAAGTAAAGGATAGGAAATTAGGGTTTACTGACTAGTGCAGTATATAACTGAAGACATTCAAAGGATATAGGTATAGTCCTGTTGACATGACAATATAACCATTTTAATGGTAAGGGAGAAATACCGAGGTCAAGTTGAAGACATTTGGTCACACATCTTATTTCCAGGCCTAGGTTTTTTCATACTCTACCTAAATTAAGTAACTTTCTCAGAAGTACCCTTGTTCCACCCTCAGTTAAAGAAAGAAATTGAACTACGTGCTTTCAAAGGGTCCTTCTGTCTCCAAAAGTTTATGATTAAAATAGTTCTGTAGGTGTCTTGAGATTGGCTAAGGAGCACCCAGTTGAACTTGTGGGTATGAGAAAGTTAATTGACAAAAAAATTCCTGAATGACAGATTCAGGAGGTGTAGAGAGGAGGTGTTCAGAGAAAGTAGAGGTGTTTAAACCACATTCCTGCTTTTATGAGATTGATATCGTTGGACAACAGCTACTTTACCACAAAATATCTGTTTAAGTTACTGATAGAGCCCAAACCTTAGGCTGACAAAGCCTCCGTGCATCACCTTGTATAATTGAGAAGAGTCAGTTTTTTTCACAACCCATGGTACCATTTTAGGGAAATCAAACTCTTATTTTTCTTTTAGGATAAAGTGGAAATAAAGTCCATGTACTTATTTTAAAGGGACTACTAATTTAATTAGTAGTTCTGAAAAGTATTTAGAATATGATTATCCCTTAAAGCTAAGATATTTTAATTACTGCATGAATATTCACTTCGAGATCAGTTCTTAACAGGAAACTTTTTCAATCTCTCAAACACCTGCAACCTCTGGGCTAATGATTCCTGCATATGTGCTCGGAGGTGAGGCATGACTGTAAAGTTGTGAAAGTAAAAAGAATTAACTTATTTTAGTCACTATGTATAATCTCAATTAAGGGACTTTAAGACAACACTGTGAGTGGTGATGGCAAAAATTATTAACGTTAAGAAGATCTCATACTTTAAAGTGTCAGAATTACAAATAAAGAATATTATATAATTACCTTGAATTAATGTGTAATATGAAAAAGTTATAGTGATTGTGATGATAAGCATATGAACTAGAAGAATAGATTGTAAGTGTGCTTAGTGTGATTTTGATTGACTGATAAAGTAGACAAAAATAAAAGAAACTGAAGTACTAGTAGTGAAATTCTCATAAAATGGAATAACATTTTTTTCCTGGCTCCCTTCCCAACATTGCCATATAAATATATATTTTTACAGATGTCTTATCACATTGTATATATAATTTTACTTTTATTTTATAAAAACTTTGCATAATTTGCTTCCCATTATTTGTAATAATTTATCATCATTTACCTATTGAGGTACAGTAACTAACTAAACTTTCCTCTATTTGGGTTTTCCTGAATGGAAGAAAATAAAATGACCATCCTCATGAAGCTTCCTTTATTGTTATTTTTTAAAACTTCCTTAGGATTGTTTCAGTAGAGAGGCAGTATAGAGTAGTTATATATAAATGGGTAGGCTCTAAAATTAAAGTTTCAGAGTTCAAGCCTAGTTCTGTCACTTATTGGCATTCTGAGAAACATTCTGAGAAATACCTTGTTTTCTCGGAACTTTAGCTTCCTGATCTGTAAAATGGATATAGTAATAGCTCTGCAAAGCTGTTAAGATAAAAAGCAGTGACACACCAGAAGACAGGAAATGTTAGCTATTGCTCTTATGAGGGAATGCACAGATTTTTAGTAATTTTCAAATTACCTTCCAAAAGGATTACATAAAGATATGGTATAATTAATAACCTATATATATTCTCATGTTATCTTAAAACATTTCTATTAATGTGACCAATTTGATCAGTGCAAATTGTATCCATTTGTTTTTATTTGTATTTCTTTGGTCTGTGGGAAGGAGGTAGTTTTTTCAGCAATATTGCTACCCTTTCCAAAAAGAGTGATGGAATCTTAATTGCCTCAGTCATTTTGAACTAGACCAAAAGGCAGACATATAGGACAAATCAACTATAGCACTAATGAAGACTGGACCAAATTTTCTAATAGGCTTTTTCAAATTAACTATATTATCCTCTATGGTATTTTTTATTAGTTATTATTTTAAATCTTAGCAAATAAGATATTAAAATCAACAAATACTATCAGATACCAATCCTATTTAAAAGTAAATTCACTCTTCTCTTTTCCCCCCTTGAAGGACTGATTTATTATTAGCATTATTTTGATCAGAGCTTGGTAGATATTCAGCAGGAATGTTCTCAAATTTGGGAAAAACCAGAGTAAGACAAAGTTCCATGATCCCTATCCATGGTGTCCTTTGGCTATAAATGGATAATGAAGTTATGCCCTCTGACTTGAGTTCTTATATAGTCAAGGTAATTTAGACTACACAAAAGCATGCCCTTGTAAGTTCTGGAGTCCCAGCAGCCCTGATATTTCTGACAAACACACACCCTGTGTGGATAACAGCAGCTCTTTGTGCTGCTGAGCCCCAGGAGGGCTCCCTATTGTGTACTCTTCCTTCCCTCCCATTCTTGACTGACTGGTGATAGCAACTCCTCCAAGTCCAGATGTGAAGCTCCCTCAGGGACTCCTCTCTTTTACCCAATTCTGTATTTACCCCTACCAACCACTTCTTTAGCATATTTGCCTTTGTCCTGTCTATGATAAATTCACTATCTTTTCAAGGTTGTGGCTTCAGATTATGTTTTTAATTTTTCTCTGTGTTTTATGAATGTCTTCAACAGTCCCTACAGAAGAGACTGTAGCCACAATTAGCATAGATTAACACGTAATCAGCACTTGATAAATGTTTGTTGTTGTGAACCTTATCTTGTATGGTCTTTTCCATTCCTGAGCATGGTTCTATTTTATGGTACCAGTCTGGAGAAGAAGTTCCAGTGGTGTCCTGGATTGCTATGTTTGCCTCTATTACCAAGGTTAGGAAATCTGCTTGTTCTGCTTAAGTTCTTTCTTTTTTTTTTTTTTTTAATTTTTTTAAAGATTTATTTATTTTATTTATACAAGCACTGGGTACAGTCAGAAGCACCGGAGGGTGAGCGAATTCACCACAGCCAGAGCAGGGAGCAGAGCAGGCAGAAGGACCGAAGTACACTGCTGAGGGGAGCATCTGGGCGGCAGGAGAG